AGCATCCACCCTGTGGATGTTGCTCCCCGGCAGATAGCGGCTCTGCTCGCCACATTCATTCCGCTCACCTCTCCTTCATGAAGTGCTTGATTCTGACTATGGCCTTCTCGTCGATCTTCCTGAGGAAGGTTTTCAATCGCTCCCTCTTGTTTTCAAGCATTCTTCCCTCAGCCAGTGGTCGTCGGTTCGTGTAGAAACGACGCTCCACACCAAACTCCGCCGTTCTTGTTTAGCTTCTGCTTTTTTTTTTTTTCTCTCCTCCTTCTCACTTCATCTACGGCTGATTAAGATAATGAGCTTAAATCGGACCAAGTCAGCCGACCAATCAGCGTCGGCGACAACTTGGGAAAAAACGGTCATGTCAGACCGAGCCACCAATCAGAACGGGGGTAGTTGGCCTGCGCAGACCGCCCATTACCTTATATGGTATCCGGGAAGTCCCTTTCTTGAGATGTGTGAAAGGCATACAGCCTGTGTTTTTATTGTGTCAGTGTCCTTTTAATCAATAATTAACATGTGGAAATAGCATTTCACGTGTGAACAACATGGGGAATACACATTGTGCTGCCACAGTGCCACATCACACTACACTTACTCTTACAGAGAAATGGGCTGTTCTTGTAGGCCCTCCAGCAGGGTGGGGCCGTACTGTTAACATACAGCTCTACATACCATAAACAGAAAGCTGAATTTTATTGTGTGAAGGTAAACCTATTTCCCAAATATAATGCTATAACATAATAGTTCTAATTGTAACATAGCATAGCATAGTAAAACCTGTATACTTGATAAATAAATGTTATATTTAGGCTTTTAAATAACAATAAAAAACAATTTTAATTTAAAAAGGGCAGTTGCGGAACACGTATTTTGGTTTGATGAACTACAAAAGCTGACCGAACCCACTAAGTTAAATAAAAGTGACATTACCCCATGAATCATAATGAGCTGGAAAACAAATGAGCCTGTTCTTATGAAGGGAAGTGGAGGCCAGTGAATCAGAAGGCTAGTCAATTGCTCAGTTCGTGGCTTCTATTCTACTGCCAAGGCATGAAACACTTTATCCCTGCACTGTGCATGCAGCTAATGAAGGGCCAAGTCTCTCACCTCCCCCCGTGCTGGAGAAAACGGCAACAACTGCAACAACAAATGGCAGAGTCACACACCTACTGTGCAATCAACAGACCAAGGCCATAAGGCTAAAGTTTATTAAGTCACATTGTAGTCACATTGGATGACTGCGGGTTACTTGTGACTACCTTAAGTGTTTAAAAAAAACTTAATGTGTTTCAGAAGGGTGGTGTATTGAGACAATCTTTTTATGTTAGAGCAATTATTTGAGGTGTCCATGAGCAAGTTTTGTGAGGGTTCTCTGTAGACAACGCTGAACCCTATAAAAAGTACATATTAGATCATGGCATTGCTGGTAGAGAAAGATGTTTTTGATATTTTTTTGGGCTGAAATTTAGATGAAGATTGAAGTTTCGTACTCTGAATATTTATGTTTTTAATTTTTTAATTTTAGGACTGGCATTGTTAGAGAAAGTGACTATATTACTCAGTTATAATTATTGTCTCAAAATTTGTCTTGACATCATTTATACGTCATTACATCATGACAAATCAGTGAATAACCCTTTAAAACACAGTTCACCCTGATTACAACACAGCTTTCTCATGAGTATTTCACAACTCTATTGATAGAGACCTTGAACACATAAAAAGGAGAAACCAATCATTGTCAGATAGCCGTTATACACAAATCTCAGCATTGAAAGCCTCTTTTTTTTCCCTCACCAGGCAGCTCAGGCATCGCCACGCCACCAGGAACAGAAGAGGCAGTGTGCTGCCACATGACACAGCAAACACACCACCCTCACACAATCTGGCCTACACCAGCCAGCCCCCGGCCTTCCCTTCCGTCTCCTCTGCCAGAAAACAAAGCAGAAAGTGAGAAGGAAATCACGCTTCATAAGGAAGTATGTGATGTAACGAGGGGGTGCTGATGGAGCGTAGGCAATAACAGGCTTTTCTGTGTTGATTCATCAGTGTGACAGTTGGTTCAGTAATTGGGCAACGTGGGGAACTACACAAGAACCACCCACAATAGACCCATCTTCATACTATGTTTGTTATTTAATTAATTCCACATTTGTTTGGGAACATCAACCATGACCGGTATCATGACCTTGAGGCCCTTTCATGTAGAGAGGCACTATGTGTCTGGGAGATGTGAAATTAACATGAAAATCACATTCTCTGTAATAGACCATAACTGCTGAATCAGAAGTGTATTTCCAAATGTAAAAACAGAACTAAACTAAAAAGAAATGAGGAGACAGAATAAAATAAACATGTGTATTCATCACAGTAAATGCTTTTAGTCTTACAAACTACAATGGCTGAGAAGCTTGCAAAAACCTTATCCAGAGCCAGTGTTTGGTTTGTCTGGACTACTGTAGAAACATGGCAGTTCAAGATGGTGGTCTCTGTGGATTCAACTCATTCTAAGGTAACGAAAACGCATTCATTCTTATTTCCAGGTGATTATACATGAACATGAATATTATATTCCATTTCTGCCATTTGATACACACTGGACCTTTGAGACCACACATTTAGCTAAGATTAACAGTCTGAGTCATGAAACTGGAATTACTGCCTCTTGATCTAGTCAATATTTGTAAATGACTTTAACATTATTGTGAAAAAAACACACCACCTGCTCAGAGCCAATGAGCTTAGAGTCACATAAGAAGGGCATATTTAAAATATGCTTTGGCAAACAACTTATTTTAGCTTTCATTTAGTGACTGTTATTATTTCCTTTTGTACTTCTCTAATCACCGCAGAGTCAGGAAGTTTGACAGACTGTTGCTGTTATGAATCTGGCATAATGTTTGCATGTAAAGTTGCATCTACAAAATTTGCAAGCAAAGCCTCTGCCTTCAATCTTACAGAATCAGTAGCTGCAAATTATATAAAAAGAAGGGTATACCCGTTGAAAAGTATTGGTGTAACGTTGTAAACAAATACAATTTCAACTATTGAAGAAAATGCAGAACAGGGCTTGCACCCTTCAGAAACAACTGTGAGCTTAATCAACTTTTGTCCCTTTATGAACTGGTGAACAATGAAGACCTTGAGGTTAAGATCTTGGTGGGATGATGTCCTTCTGAAGTGGGCAACAGCCACTTCGGAAAACACTAACATTAAATGATCCTCTCCTTCTCAGCCAGTGTGTTATCTCTGATTGATGTTATCAGACATATCACATGTGTCTCTTCAGGAAGAGAAAGTAGGATGTTTTTTGCTTAGAGGACTGCCTATTAGCTGTTGCCAGAGAGATCCTCATTATCAGCTGCAGGAGTAAACACTGACCTTGGGAGGCTAGCAATACCTTGGCCTGGAAAACCGAGGCTATGACGCACAGACAGCTGCAGCCATGCACATTACAGCACAGGTGTGTAGGAATGCTTATGCAGCAGGATAAAACAGCACATCACAGGCTGTACCCCTACTGTACAAAGATGGATTGTAATTAATTATTTATTTTGGCTTAATATTATACATAAACACGGTATAGATATCAATAAAGCATTACATTATGGCAGCATGCATTGGCAAATGTGACAAATGGGAAAGAATTTAAATCAGTCAGCTATTTGAGCATCTCAACCTCAGAAATCTTGGATATGGACATTGGTTTAAGTACATACCATACATACCTGTACTGGAAAGAATCTTTGTCTGAAGGGAATAATAATGGGATCACAATGCTGGTGACACATTCCCAGCTGGCATTTTAAAATGTGATTTCTGTGGAATTTCCAGATCCAGAGAGAGAGAGAGAGAGAGATAGATAGCTCTTTGTGTCCTCACATGAAAGCTTCCTTGATTTGCACATGAGTAACGCATCACATGGGACATATTGCGACAAATAAAATTATTATGGCCAACGCCATAATATGTTTGTCCCATCATGGTGGGACAAACATATTCAAATTATGGCTTTTCAGCGTCTGGGTGTTTACCCACTATTTACAAGAAAAACAGACTGTTAGCAAAACATTTTTGTGTCATCGATTGGTTCGTCAAGTCACCCGTTAAAGTTTCGGGTTGGTTGATGGGTGGAAATCCCCTTACGAAGCTAGCTATGTCTCTTGTCTGTATCTTTCTCACATACAGGATATAGAAAAAAATGTTTGTCTCATCATACATTATACAGTACCACAGCACTTTTTACATTATTTGTCACAAGTATATTAGGCATTTTGTACCAAGTCTTGTTCTTATACATACGAGGAAGATACACAATTTATTGCAAAGCATCCATTGTACAAGTTCATTCATAAGATATCTTGTATTATTTATGATTATTTTAAGGGTTTTTCTGTTATGTGTACACACATTTGGGTACGCTAAGGTAGGAAACTGACATTTCAATACCTTGCCAGTATAAAAAGGACTAAATACCTACGTGAATTAAACATCTCTTTATGTCATCTTCTGTATCTGTGGGCTGTCTGTGAGGTCAGAAAGGTCAGTGCATCACAAGGATTCACCCCAGCAACAGCCAATTTCATTCAATGAGGGCAGCGAAGGGGGGGGGGGCACTTACTCCCTACCCAATGATATCATCTTACCTGTAACACTGGCACATTGTCTGTGGCCATCTTACGACTGTCCCACTTTAGAAATCATTTTGCAGCTATGCATTTTCACACTTCACGGGATGTTCATACATTCAGGGTCGTGTGTGCAACATGTCTCGCAGCCTGACTGATATGGGGGATTAGAGTCTTAGTCATGTGCGTGTAGATGAAGAAGCCTTTACCTTATGTGTTTTGTTTGTGTTCTCTATGCGTGAGCTGCCAGAGGCTCAGGTGTAACACATACAATCCCCAACCCAAAGGGTGTTGGGTTTCTACCCTGCAGGGTCTGGCTGGCCTCTTCCAGCTACTGTTACAAGGCTACTCTCATCACTAATTCATCTGCGCTCTTTACCCCAAAGCTCTGGGTGGCTGGTTGGCTGGGTGGTTGGCTGGCTAAGCGGGGGGAAGGACAGAGTTTCTCTCTTTGCCAGAGCAGCGCATCAACAGGCCTCTCAGAAGTGGACCATACCTGAGCTGGGGCCCGATGCAGAACGGGGAGGCTATGAGCCCGCAGGACTCCAAGGCAGCAGGGGCTGAGGCCATGGACGAGCAGAAGGCCCAGAACCAGAGCCAGAATCAAGGGTGTATGGAGCCCACAGCGCCTCCGCTTCCTCCTCCTTCACCACCACCATCAGGGCCACCAGAATACCCAAGACCTAGGCTCATCTTCCACACCCAGCTGGCTCACGGGAGTCCCACAGGCCGCATCCACGGATTCACAAACGTGAAGGAGCTGTACGCCAAGATTGCTGAAGTGTTCCACATCTCCCCCTCAGAGGTACAAAGCAAACCCAGAATGTAAACAGTATTAGGAGAATTAGTTACATTTCCAGCTTTGTGGAAAATGATTTAAAAATGATTTCTAAAAATGATATTGTTCCTTTCTTGCATGTGTGATCTGACAGGCCAGCTGCAAATAGGTGTTGGGTTTCTATTCTAGGCTTTTTTTCCATGATGCACTACACAAGATCATTTGGCGTCACTACTGTCTGCCATACTTTGTACTCGTCTGGGCCTTGACCAGGATCAATAATGGAAACCAATAACCAGATAATGTTATGTAGTCAGTACAAATAACTCAACAAGTTACATTAACGGAAGAGACTTTTGAGCAAAACAAAACGAGGTGATGAGAAGTTTTCTTTGAAAGGTAAATAACAAAGTAGGGTAAAATAACAGAGGATAGGTGCTTAGTTACTGTAAACTGGTGCAAAAATCCTCAAGATTTCAACCCGTTTTAACAATTACAGAGAATTACTGTACATATTTAGAATTACAATTACTGTACTAATTTATTGGAAACAGTTTTCATAGTCTGACCAGTACTAGTGAGCTGACCTTTTTGTGTTCCCATTTGAAATACTTCAACAAGTAACATTACCCTCAATATTTACTCAAATGCTGTGTAAGTGTAGCAGAAAATGGAAGCAAATGAGTGTCATTTCACACAGCCTGCAGTTGTACAATTGCATCCACATAGGCTATTTATTTATTTATTTACAAATTCACACATTAGACACATGCACACATTTTCTTTTCACATGCACACAAAAGGTGATATATAACTGCAGGCCATGGAATTATTTGTGAACATCATTTCACAAGCTCAAACTATTAATGACCCTTATTTCTTTCCATAGTGGGGGAGTAAATGTGTGGTTTGAAGTCAGGTTACAGAAGGCAGCTGCTCACAAAGCCAGAATCTTTAAAAAGAGATCTAGTCACTAAACCTTTACTAGGTCAGGGCAAGCCAAACCACTGGGCAGCCTGATACTGCTCTCAACACTCAACCACACCACCAGCACAACCAAAGGCCACAGTCTGTCCAACCCTAACTCCCATGCAGGTGTCACAGAAATACTGCACTCAATGGCTACACTTCCTTTTTCGATTTCAGAAAAGCATTTATATGACATTTATCAACAGCAACTAAAAGTAGATTCAGTGGTAGAGTGATCAAATGAATGTGTAGGAGTATATTGATAGTTGAGTTGAGTCTGTAGCAGGGCTTTAGGTGTAAGCAACCGATTTTCTGTCTTGTGCTTGTACACATCTTGTCTGCAGAAATTGGTTCACTGCACTAAACTGAGGTGAATAAAATCATTGAGCATATATTCACAACTAGTATAACAGTATTTCTTTGATGATTGTTAAAAAAATGATGTTAATTGTTTGTGCAGTTCAATATTACACTACAACCATAAACTGTGAAGAGTTTAACTTCTATAAAATAAAATAAAAAAGGATGGCCGGCATGTATTCTGCTGTTTTTCGGCATTCTCTGGTATATTATGGTATCACATGATCATCAACAGAACAATAAATATTCGACATTGGACTTATCTAATACTTATCACTAGCATTATGAAGGCCACCATGAAGGCTTTTCCTATCACTGCCTGTTGGACATAAACCGCTGGAGATGAAGGGATATAGACCTATGTACATTTCATTGGAACTAACCCTGATGATCTTATCAGGCAACTACTAGTCATGATTGTGAAAAATCTGTTGGCCTGTTTATTTATGTAACATAAGATTAAATTCGTTAATGCTGAATGTCTATTTTAGGAAGAAACTGCCAACCAGTGTTCAAATTACACTGTGGCTTTTGGGGGAGCCATAATTTTTGGGCAGAGGGGTGGGAGGGTACTGCCATGAAAAATATACAATCAATTTATGTCAATTCACACAGAGAATATTTAACAAAGAAACAGAAAATTGCTTCACCGTCGCAATGTCTTTTTAAATTACTCTCCACTGCAAAACAATAAAATGCCAATGCTCCGTGGACAGACAACGGTTGTGTTACTTTATTAAACAGACCAGGACTAAGTTGAATCCTATGACAATTATGAACATTCCCACAGCCTCCAATGTTCATCTTACGAAAAAACTAAGATAACTTTTCCAACAGGTACTCTAAATACAACAAAGTATAAATTTATACAGAACAAAAAAACAGTAGAACCAAAAATTACAATATTTTAGAGCATCCATACATTTTTCAAATGAGGCTTTCTAGGGACCTCATGACTCTTTCTGGGGAGTTGAGCCCCCTGCTCCCCCTTATTTGGAACAATGCTGCCAACTGAGATTATTGCACTACAATAATGGGTACACTTACACTCCTGACCAATCACCGATTTTTTTGACATCTTTTAATATGACGCTTCCACTGAAAACATTTATCTTACAACCCAGAATCACTTATGATGAGTACAACAGTGGTAGTATTTGATATTATTAGATTACCACAGGGCAGCATGGTTGGTTAGGGTTAGGGTTCTTTCTATTTACACACAGCAAGGATATCCTGTCCTGTGTCTGCTAGCTGTGTGCGGTCTTGTGTGGAGTTTGTGTGTCCTGTGTATGTAACTCTCAGGAGCTATTGTCCATTTGAATTAGAAACTCCTCCCTCCATTAGAAACTAGAAATTCCTGTTAATGTGTTTGTCTTGTTATGTATGTTAGCCATGTGGTAGCTTGGCTCAGCTGTCCAGGGCATACGTTGCCCAGCGTGTGCTGGGATAATCTCCAGTGATCCTGAAAGAATAAGCAGTTTAGATAACGGTCGGATAGATGACTATTAATAGTAAACAATGCAATTGTTGGGTCCTTACGTTGCAAGACATACATAACAATAAGTAATAATTATAAATCTCTCAGACTTTGAGCCTTTTAAGTTTGTGTGTTGCTTTTTAGTTCATACGAAGACTAATACAAAGACTAGAAGTATAAATAACTGGAGGGTTTCCTTGGGTTTTTCTGGTCTCTAATTCTGTGCTGTTTTGTTCCAAAATCATATATTATTTCATTATTATTTGATTTAACAACCTGTATATCTACACAACCTTGAACTGCAGTCAGATTTCTAGTTACAAAACTTTCTATGAGAAATATCAGGCAACAGGGTAGTGATAGTGAGAAGATCAGCAGTTTCCTTGACCTTCTGTGGCAGCGTAAAGTTACAGTACAGCTTGATGCCAAAGAAGACCTTGAACTGCAGTCAATATATTTCCTTTGCAAAGAGAATTACTCTGAGCAATATCTAACAGGAAGTAATTCAATTGAGATAACAGTTCCCAGGTTATCTTGAATTATATTATGGAAGTGAAAGTTAAACTTTAACTTCAGGTTTCAGAAGATATGGGGAGATTTGGCAAAAACAAAAGCTATTTTAAAAACAAAGACAATTATAGTTATAAACTATAAATACATTAGGATAAAATAGTGTAGCCCAGAGTTTGAAGAGATGTTATGAGAAAGTCACATGTTCATATCAAATTTGCAAATGTTGTTCTATGCTTTAATACATGGCTGAAAAGTTCTTCTTCCAAAAAAAAAAGTGTAGATTTACTATTATCCACTTAATATTGTTTTATGACACACTCTTAATTCAATTACTAACCTCTGAAAACAAGCATGACTCCTAAAACAAACAGAAAAAATGTCTAATCAAGTTGTCTGTGTGCATTTTTAATATTAAATATATATATACATAAGGCTCTCTATGAGTTCTATGAGTTAACACATGCATGGCTCATAACAAAATGGCCACAATAGCAAAATCAAATAGTTTGACTCTATCGCCCTCTGCTGTTTAATCTCTATACAGCACATTTGGAGAAACTTGCTTTGAAATGATGTAATATAACAGGAGTAGGAAAATGAAACACCAGGGAATGCCACAGAAACTATAATCACATGCCTTGTAAATTACAAGGAAATTTCATTTGTTTTATAAAAAGTCATTTGCTACGTACCTTGTCCAGTAGGCGACTGCGGTCAAGCCAGCCGTGACTCCGATCTCCGTGGTCAAATCAGCCGCACTTAAATTTCGAGTGTACAAGTATTCTCAGCATTATGGTAAAT